TCGAAGGGGAACGTCTCAGGTTACACATGTAACCATGGTTCCCTGAGAATAGGGAATATTCCCTTTGCCATGCTTCAGGCATTCCTGCGTACTTCTCCTTCAGACAAGATGTGGATGACGTATTTCACAGGTGTACTTTTATACTCTCAACCGCACCAGTTGTGACGTCATTGGCTGCCACCTACCAATGTCAAGTTCATTATCATGTTTAGACTCATGTTTCAGACACCGGTTATGCCGGAGGCATTCCCCATAGTGCCCGCTAGGGGCTGCAGCGTCCCAAGCCCTATTCTCAGGGAGCCATGGTTACATGCATAACCTGAGACTTTTTCCAGACTGCTTTCCATGGGAACAACTATTGGTTGGCTGTCAGATACGTCTGACAATAATGCTTTTTATTGCTACAACAAAGAATGTATGAACAGTGCACCGGGAGTTACTTAAATTTAATAAGCCATTTAATTCAGATTTAAAGAATGATATTTCATTCACATAAGGTCAGATGACTAATACAATATGTTCTGGAATATTAGTTATGCAATACAGTATGAAATAAAATGAGTACAGATATAATGTGCAAATCTACATCTGCATTTTTTTCACCACTGATAAATTATCAAAAAATAATAATACAAAATACCTACATGATCTAGACAACCTCACTTAATACCAATCAGGTATTACAGGTGTATCTCAATAAATTAGAATGTCATGGAAAAGTTAATTTATTTCAGTAATTCAACTCAAATTGTGAAACTCGTGTATTAAATAAATTCAATGCACACAGACTGAAGTAGTTTAAGTCTTTGGTTCTTTTAATTGTGATGATTTTGGCTCACATTTAACAAAAACCCACCAATTCACTATCTCAACAAATTAGAATATGGTGACATGCCAATCAGCTAATCAACTCAAAACACTTGCAAAGGTTTCCTGAGCCTTCAAAACGGTCTCACAGTTTGGTCCACTAGGCTACACAATCATGGGGAAGACTGCTGATCTGACAGCTGTCCAGAAGACAATCATTGACACCCTTCACAAGGAGGGTAAGCCACAAACATTCATTGCCAAGAAGCTGGCTGTTCACAGAGTGCTGTATCCAAGCATGTTAACAGAAAGCTGAGTGGAAGGGAAAAGTGTGTAAAAAAAAAGATACACAACCAACCGAGAGAACCGCAGCCTTATGAGGATTGTCAAGCAAAATCGATTCAAGAATTTGAGTGAACTTCACAAGGAATGGACTGAGGCTGGGGTCAAGGCATCAAGAGCCACCACACACAGACGCGTCAAGGAATTTGGCTACAGTTGTCGTATTCCTCTTGTTAAGCCACTCCTGAACCACAGACAACGTCAGAGGCGTCTTACCTGGGCTAAGGAGAAGAAGAACTGGACTGTTGCCCAGTGGGCCAAAGTCCTCTTTTCAGATGAGAGCAAGTTTTGTATTTCATTTGGAAACCAAGGTCCTAGAGTCTGGAGGAAGGGTGGAGAAGCTCATAGCCCAAGTTGCTTGAAGTCCCGTGTTAAGTTTCCACACTCTGTGATGATTTGGGGTGCAACGTCATCTGCTGGTGTTGGTCCATTGTGTTTTTTGAAAACCAACGTCACTGCACCCGTTTACCAAGAAATTTTGGAGCACTTCATGCTTCCTTCTGCTGACCAGCTTTTTGAAGATGCTGATTTCATTTTCCAGCAGGATTTGGCACCTGCCCACACTACCAAAAGTTGGTTAAATGACCATGGTGTTGGTGTGCTTGACTGGCCAGCAAACTAACCAGACCTGAACCCCATAGAGAATCGATGGGGTATTGTCAAGAGGAAAATGAGAAACAAGAGACCAAAAAATGCAGATGAGCTGAAGGCCGCTGTCATCAGGGCATCAGACATGGACAGATGAGAAACAAAGACGTTGCCTGGAAATAGAATTCTAACATCTGATATTTAACTTTCCCCTGCACTAACGCAGTGACAATTATTTCAAGTGCACATAAAAATAGCAGCAGAGGGCTAATCAGTGACACACTGTATTCAGATTAGTAATTGATCGTGTAACGCTGTAAGCAACACACAGTCTCCAGAAAATATGAATGATAATTAGATGCAAGTAACAGAAGAAACAAGAGTGGTTAATAAGATAAAATTAGAGGAGGGTAAAATGGGGCTCTTGGAATGCTTGGAAGTATTACAGATTATTAGCTTGACTAAATTGCTTTAGTACACACCTCAGAGATGTACATGCTATGAGTCACACAGCTGACCCTCATACAAATAGCAGACTTATTTATCTGCTTGTTACAAAATGTACAAAGAGATGTCTAGACTAGTGATGCACCAGAAATCATTTTTAATGTACCGAAACCAAGTTTTCATTTAGCTGAAAGTTTAATAACACATTTCAAAAACACATTAAATAACATCAACAGGTTCAGTAAAAATATGTGTATGTAATATAGTGTATATATTTTAGCAAAATGCTCCTCTAGAGTTCTTTTTTTTTCTAGCTAACTAGCGAGTTTATGGACATTGAATGGCTTTCCTGAGGTAAATGTAACATTACATGACATGATGTTTACAAGCTGTTTTAATGACATCTGACCGCATTTGAACAATGATTGAGCAATATGAAAAATGAAATTTCATAGAATTTTAAAAACATGAGTTTTTGGTTTCAGAACCAATATCAGTTGCTAAATTTTCGAGGCATCACTACTATTCTATGCCAACAAGCTCATGTCCTCAAACTGTGCCTGTCCTGTAAATTTCAACATTGGTACGACAGGATAAGTCACAGAGAAAGACAGAGACAGCAGAAAGTGAACATTAGCAGATATTTGTATGCAAATGCAGAGAGGTTATTATATAAGCCCTCTTATGAACCGAATACTAAACACACACACACATAGTATATCAATCTGTAATTCACACATCAGAGGTACTCTGACTGCAAGAAAGATGAATTAATCATGATCCACAAACCTAAGTTTGCATAACAATGGCAGCCATGGACACTGAATCTATCTATTCACATTTAAAATTGCTAAACAGGACATTGTGGCTCAAATGAGCAAGTAATGAATTTAAGGATGATCATTAGTTAATTTGAAGTATGCAAAAATTGCTATGCCACAACAAGGCAGTTGTTGCTAACAAAGCAGGTCTGGCTAGAAAGTTTAAGAATGTTTTTAAAAGCCTTGAAGATACAAGTCAGTAAATGTGATCAGTTCATATACTGTATACTGTATACTTTATATACTGTAGCACACCAAGTTAGAATAGTCTGAAGATTTGTGTTTAGCTTGAAAGCTCCAGAGGAGACACACATGATAGGCAAATTAAGCACAAATCAGCAATTGAGAGAAGGAGCCAGAGTCTGCAGAGGAGAATCAGAGATCAGATGGGATATGAGACGCTAACAAGATCGAGGTGACTGTGAGAGGGAATAAAAAGAGAGAATGGAGGAAGGTATTGAGGGTCAAAAAACAGAGAGGTGAGAGAGGTAAAAGAGAAATGAGGCCTCTTTCTTTCTACCTGCCAGCAGTGCGTGACCGGTTTCTCAAGAAAACTCTAATCCACAGGCAGCTACAGATCAATCACAGCGGGTGTATATTTAAGATGGAGTCCTGCTGAGAATATCCCACAGCATATGAGTCTCTATACTCAGACCACTCGAAAAGCTCAATTGCCCCTCTCTTTTCGACTTCTATATGCAGTATATCAAATGAAAATCATTTTGGGAGAGGTGATATTTTATTTGAATGACTTTAACAAAGAATCATTTTACAGTATTTTTCTACCTTTTTTCCCCAATTCATTCTTGACAGCCAAAATACCATTTGAAAGCTTTTATACTCAATATTGTTAGAATTTTATACTTTAATACTATCTGAAATCAGTCATTTGCAATTTCCTGGCTTTTGGTCAGAAAGGAAATCAGATGTTGCAAAACTGAAAAGCCTTTGTAACCATAAATTGGGATTGAAAAGGCTTGGTGATATGCAACCTTTAAAATATAATATTTCATGCTTTCACACTGCTTAGAAATCAAAGTTATGAGCTCATAACATCAAATGAAACCCACTGAAATACAAGTTATCTAATGGACTCAATTTATCACTTTCTCTCAGGGTGGCAGTGAATCTTACCATGATAACATGAACACATATTTGTGACTTTCAGCAGGAGCTGCTACAGAGGAGTACAGCAAGGAAGTTGGTGTCATTGCCATTATAACTGTAGAGTGGACTGGTGAAAGACACTGGCAATTAAAGGCAATGGCCCGTATGGTGTAGGGTAGTTCATCAACTCTTAGGCAAAGGCAGTAAAAACATCTGCAGATCACAGGAGCACAAGCCTTCAGGAAACAGTATTAAGGGATAGTCCATCAAAAATGTAAAATTCTGCCATCGTTTGCGCACCCTCATGACAAACCTTTATAACTTTTTTCTGCAGAACACAAAAGAAGATATTTTGAAGAATGTTGAAAGACAGTTTTGGTGACCAATAACTCAACTCTCAAAATAATTTCCTTTGTGTTCCGCAAAATAATGTATGTTTTGAAACGCCATGAGAGTGCGTAAATGATGACCAGCATCCAGCTAAGCTATACAAATGTACAAACGTTTGTCACGCCAATAAAGCACACTAAACTGAAACAACCATGAACATGAAAAGCCTGCAACAGAGCAGATTAAATCTTACTGGAGACATACTACAGAGATGCTACAGTCGCTGGTTTGTTAACTGTCTTGCTCAATTGCCTTGTCTAAATGAGGCTAACCCGTGGAGCTGTCGAAAACTAATTTAACCTTTCTTCTTTTGTGAAAGCCCTGCTTGCTCCACAAAGCAACTTGTGTTGGAGAGCCCTAGAGTGAATCAAGCATTTAAGCAAAAACAGCAAGGTCCAAGCAGTCAAGAACATTTTTCATTATTTCTTCAATCAAAAGCCACTTTCTCCTCATTCTAAGGGATTGGTCATGCAACAAGGTGGGTCGCCTGTAACTTACTGTTGTTTGTGTGAGAGCTCCTGCTCCTTGTTAACCAGATCCTGCTTAAGGCTGGCCAGCATTTCCACAGACACGTCCACTTGCCGCGAAAGCTCTGTGGCCTTGTCCTCCAGGTCTTGCTTCTCCTGACTGAGCCTCTCGCTCTCCAGCTTTGCCTTTTCCAGCTCCAAGCTTTTCCTCTCCAGCTCCGTCTGCAGACGGCCAACACGCGCCGCGATCTTCTGCTCCACCTCCTCCGACAACTTCTCGAGCCTCTCGTCTAGCTCGAGCCTCTCAAATGCTCGAGCTTTCAACCGAGCCAGACCCTCTTCATAAGCTGCCTCCACCGCACTAGCAGCCACATTAGCGGCCACTGCCACCGCATTGTTCCCTGTGGAGGACAAGGCATCGCCGGAGCTCATGGCTGTCTTCACCAAGATCTCGCCCAGAGGAAACTCCACATTGGGCAGGTAGCAAGCAGTAGACGAAGGCGCAAGCTCAAGCTCTTCTCCAGAGCAGGGCAGTTCGCGGTACGGAAAACAGGATTTGGCAGAGAGGGCTCCGTCGGCCACTAGGGGGAGCAGCGCAGCGGCATCGCATACGCTGTTGGACTTGGACAGCACATACAGGGTCTCATAGGTGTGGTTGTACTCCAGATGGGCGCGCAGAGAGGACAGACTTCGAAAGCGCTTGTTTTCCCCACAACGAGGACAACGGTATGGCAGGTCCAAAGAGGCCATTCCACGCTCCCGTGGATGCCAGGATGGAGCAATCTGCTCACGCCACCAAGCGCTGCCAAGAGCAGGCAGGGACAGCGGCCGGGCACCAAAGAGGACCACTCATCTCAGACGCGCTGGGTTTGCTACGGGTTGAGCAAGGAACAGGGGATCACCACACATGCTCCTTCTGAGTCACAAGTTCTTGATTTAGTTCTTCAATAAGGTCTTGACTGCTGTTAGGCCTATTTCTGGCACTTAATCATTTTCCTCACAGTCCAAAACTTTTGTCCTATTAAAAGAGAGAAAAGGCACACAAAATGAACAAATATTAATGCATACAGTACAGGGTATCTGCAGGTATCAGCATTTCTGATTTATTACTTTTTAATACTATTTTCAAGACCTTCCGAAAATATTTTCAGACTGGCTCATCACTTCTATCGGCTTCTATGCAAAGACATAAAATCACCCTGCTCAACAGATATATACAAATGAACCAAATTGACCGTTTTTACATTTCTGGCTTTAAATAAACTATAGCAGGGTAAACCCCTATTTATGAAACCTTAGCCGTTAGAATTTTTGTAGAACTATTTGCTCCAGTGGTGAAAGAAAAACAAAATCCAGGTAAAAGAAAAATGGATTATGGTGGTCTGAAGAGAGAAAGATGTCAAATGTACCATCACTCGCTCAGCAGCTGTTAAATGAATGAATTTAAGACGTTTTAAGACTTCTTTGAAATTTGCTATTTAGTATATATTGCTTTATGTGAGTGTACTTTATTGTTTATATTTATAGTAATTAAAAGTTATTGCTTGAATATGCATTGTTATGGAAAATTGTAAGGTTTGAAAGGTATATTAACAATATGTAGCCCAAACAGAAATAATGTTGGGTCCATTATCATTTGGCTCTAATTTATAAATTTAAAGGGGTCATATGACGTTGCTAAAAAATAACATTATTTTGTGTAATGAAATGTGTTTATGCAGTTTAAGGTTTAAAAAACACATTATTTTCCACATACTGTACATTATTGTTTCTCCTCTATGCCCCGCCTTTCTGAAACGCATCGATTTTTACAAAGCTCACCGGTCTGAAATGCGAGGTGTGCTCTGATCGGCCAGCTATCCAGTGTGTTGTGATTGGCCGAATTCCTCAAGCGTGTGACGGAAATTTTACACCCCTTACCATACTGTGATGCCGTCAGTGTTGCCAACTTAGCAATTTTGTTGCTAAATTTAGCTAAATTTTAGCTACAAAAATATTTTATTTGGCTACTTTTAGCAACTTTTGATAAGTGGCTCAAACAATAAAAAGGCACACATTTTCCATCTAAATTTCACAAAATGAGGAAACCAAAGATGCCTAGCAGTACACACATCACTTGAATTAAGTTACTGCTATTTGCAATTGTTCAATTTGATAATAATAATAATAATTTAATAATTGTTCATTTAAGATACACCTCGTTAATAGCTTGTACCTGTGATTGTTGATCAGTTAGTACACTGTAAGAAAAATATCTAGAAAAATGTAAAAGGTACTAGTCATTTTCCAGGACATTACCCATTATCCATCATCCGTTGTAACCCGAAACACAAAATACAATGCGTAATTTAAAATGCAGGTAAAAACCTGTGAATTCTTTTCTTAGAGTGTAGCATACTGACTACTAATACACTGCTTAAAACTATAATTGTTCAGAATGTGTAGTTTTACTAGCTTACTAGCTAATGAAAAAAACTTGTAATCGTTCAAAAATGTGTAAGTGTTCAATAATTCAATGTTGTATATAAAAATGGTTATTTATATTTTAACATTATATTATGCATTATGTATCAAATCTAAATTAACATAAATATATATATATATATTTTTTATGTAGTGACACAATTTTGCATCGTGATTAAGTAATGACTTCATCACGCAATGATATCACAACGTCATTTAGCAACAAATCGACCTTCCTTTAGCAACTTCACCTGAAAATTAGTTGGCAACACTGGATGCCGTGTCCCAGCGTAATGAGACAAAACCAATAAAACCCATTACAAACGAGGTATTTGTAGCATCCAGTGGGGACATAACAGTATAAGTCACTGATTATAATGACTTATAATGTCTTTTTACGTGTTGTGTTGTGTTGCGTTGCATCGCGCCGCGCCGCGTAATCATAAAACCATGTCTGCATTTGTGATCGGAGAAATGACAAACAACTAGCACTGCTCTACACTGCTCAAAACTGGCGTTTGAATAGTCAGTGGCAAATTCTTTAAATATGAAAACGTACTTACAGGCTGTGAGTCAGCATTATTTGTCAGAACACCGGCATTGTAGGCTACTCTCCCAGGAAACAGTCCTTGTCCTCCGTAAAATGCGCTGCACACATCTGAATATTTGGTTTGATCTGTTCTGGAACAGTGTTGTATATACAACTTAACCACTGATGTCTAGTTGTGTCCTCTTTTGGAAGGCTAAACAAAGTTGTTTCGCTTTCACAATGAAACACACAGCGTCTGCAAGACATGGCGGCGGCAGCAACAACAATACTACAGCGAGAATCAAAGTTACACCTTCTTTCTTTGCGTGAACATTTGGGTCGGTGTTATGCAAATCTTCCCACACAGTGACGTAGACATGTGGGAGCGTGTTTAAATGAGGCGTTTTAGGAGGGCGTGGACTAGTCTTAACTTTAATAAAGAATGTCTCTTTGGATTTGAGCCTTTAGTCTTTGCAACTTTAGGGATCTTATCTATGCACAAACAGCTTGTAGCACTCCAAAGAGAAAGGAAAACTTGAAATCACATAATATGACCCTTTTAAATACACTGGTCTATTTTACTTATAGGAACAATACAGATGACATTCAAAAGTCACATTTATGGACCAATAATATGACTACTAATATTGTGCATCCCGATTTCGGTTCGATTTTGCCAGTACTGGAATATTCTGTCACAAAAATGTCAATTTTTTTCTATTTGAGCTTTGGCCAATAAAGCTTTCTGATTCTGATGTTTAGCAAACCCAGTGAGCACATGATGTGTAGACATGCTTTGCTTGCAAGCTGACGAACATAAAAGCTGATATCAGCTCACTGGAAGCACTTATCTGTATTTGTGCACTGCAGTATGTTGCAAATATATAATAAATCCATGGGTTAAATATAAATCTCTGTTCCTGAAATCTGCACCAACTGAAAATCATTCATTTTGTCAATTCTAACAACTTTCCACTTTCCACATGCATGAACTAGCATCATGGAAGGGAATGAAAGTGTACAATAATGATTAAAACACTAAAGCACAAGTTGAGAAGTAAAAGATTTTGTCGACTAATCTCTGTGAGTGGTTTCAGCCTCTAAAGAACTGAGAATGAACTTGAATGGCGCCGATTTAGCTGAATATCTATGCACTAATGGAAATGAACATATTTTGTCCAGGCCTCTATCAAGTAAGTATATCTTTCAACATGCCACACTACAAGGTGATTACTCAATGTAATGTTTGGCAATAGTTCAAGGAACAATCTCTCAGAAGCTTAAAACTGCAAAGGAGGCACCTATTGTGTGAAATTATTGGTAGTAGGTCACGTGGCATGAGAGTTCATCTAACTATTTCCAAAGAGACTCGCCATCATCTAATGCTCAATTAAAGGGATTGTTCACCCAAAAATTTTAATTCTGACATCATTTACTCACCATCAAGTCGTTCCAAACCTCTATGAGTTTCTTTCTTCTGTTGAACACAAAAGAAGATGGTAAACAAACAGTTGCTGATAGCCATCGACTTCCATAGTATTTTTTGTACCCATACTATAGAAGTCAATGGCTAACAGCAACTGTTTAGTTACCAACATTCTTCATTTCTTCTTTTGTGTTTAACAGAAGAACTCATACAGGGCTGGAACAACTTGAGTGAGAGTAACATTGTGTCTACATCAGACGTGACAGTTGTCGTGTCATGCCGCGCTGCAACAGCTAAAGTCTGTCTACACTTGTTGCAAATCATTTAAACTTTGTGTCAGTATGTCATAAATCGAGCGAGGCATTAGTTTACTGTTGGGGATTTGACGTGTCGCATCGCACTGCGCCGCATCCAGTGTTGACAGCATCACTGATTGAAATGGGTTCTATTGTCTTTTGTTGCGTTGCTTGCGCCACTCGCGTCCGGTGTAAAAATAGTGTAAATGATGACAGAATTTTCATTTTTGGGTGAATGATCCCTTTAAAGGTAATCTTTAAAAATGATAATAATAATAATACTGTTAAATGTAATATTTAACAAATCTACATTTTTTCAAATGGCACATTATAATGTTTTGTTGGGGTATGACGAGACACTTATCCCACGAGACGAGACACAAGACTGGGTTCACGAGAACGAGACGAGACGAGATTTTTAGACTTTTTTAAAGAAATTCTCAATGATGAAATATATAGTGAAACTTAGTCTTTTATTCAACTGAAAAACACAAAATGCAAAAAAGTAGGTGCATTTTGAAATCAACTTGTACTTTAAGAAATTAAACATCTATTTTAATAAATTTTATAAAGTAATAAACAACATGTAAACACTGCAAAATGTTTTGCCACAAACTCAACTGACAGGCAAGTAATTACACAAAAATTATAAATAATATAAATAAAAATAAATAATAAACAACAACATAAATATCCCTTTAAAGTGGAAGTGAAGCAGTCAGTCAAGTTTACATTATTTAGTAAACTGATTTCCACTTTAATAAAATATATATATAATAAACACAATTAATGTATCAATTTAAAAGAATAAAGCAGTGGTTGCCAAGGCTGAGGGATAGTTAGGGCCCTATGAAATCCGTTTTATTTTTTCCAAAATTCCGTTGTATTTTTTTCCAAATTCCGTTTGTTTTTTTCATTTTAATTTTTCTCGACTCCTTTTTAATAGTTAAATTAAATTGTATTAATTAAAAAGCATGTCTAATTAATTAAAATCATGAAACTTATAAATTTTCACATCAATTTATTAAAAGTTTAACAAAAATTATGTTTAGGGCCCTATGAAATGTTTTATTTTTTCTAACCATATTATTTATTGTTACCAAATTCTGTGTTTTAGCATGTCTAATTATTTTAATGCATAAAACACCTTTATTTATTCTTTTTTTTTTTTTTTTTTTAAGTAGCCTTATGAATTGTTTTTCCCTCAGAAATTCTGTGTTGTGTATTTAAAATTTTTTCTGGTTATCAAATGAAGGCATAAAATATTAATTTAATTGATCATTTATCTTTTAATGATTGAAAAT